CCTGAGCGGCACCAACATCTCGAGCAGTAATACCATGAAACTGCTTCCAGCGACTTGAGCAAACAACATAGTTTGCGGCCTCACTATTACTTCCATCAATACCCCAGCCAGGATCCGCTCCACTGGCGATGTCACGATAGGATCGACAAACACCATCGGAATGGACACCCACCTGGACCCAAGCATTGTTGTAGTCTGAGACTGGGGTCCACTGCTCACCAGTCTCGATGCCAAAGTAGGGTAGGCTGTATGCACCAAAGGGGCAGAGATCAGCAATCGAAGCAAGAGATTCTCCTTTTGCATTACAGAAGTTTGTCGCCTGGTCATATGTTGTGAGGGCAGATGTTTCACTTTTCCCATAGAGGACCCTGCTGGAGACACAAACAATGAAATTTGCCTCGGATGACAACTTGCTGGAGTCATCAGTTCCCCAGGCAGGATCTGCTCCACTGGCTATTTCCTTGTGGGATTTGCAAACACCACCTGCATGAACACCAACCTGGAGCCATGCATTGTCGTAGTCAGAGACTGGTGTCCACTGATCCCCCAACTGAGTACCAAAGTATGGTTCGCCAGAGCTAAAATAATAGCGACAGAGCGAAGTCTGAGATTGGTAGCAAATCTTGCATGTCAGCTTTGAAGACCAGACTGATAGACTTACCTTGCCAAGGGACAAATGTCAGAGATGGAAGCAAGAGTTCCTCCTCTGGCCAGACAGAAGTCTTGCGCTTGTTTGTAGGAATTCACATTGGATGTATAGCTGGGCCCGTAGATGGATGTTTTCATGTTACAGACAACATAATTGGCCTCAGGTCCCACTTTGGTGGATCCATCGAGACCCCAAGCAGGATCTGAATTGGCCAAGTCTAGGTGGGAACTGCAGGGCGTATTGTCTGGATGGGTTCCCACCTCAAGCCACGCATTGTGATAATCTGAGACTGGGGTCCACTGATCTGCAGACTGGATGCCAAAGAAAGGCTGGTTTGAGCCATCCAATGGACAAACATCAGCACTGGAAGCAAGAGATCCTCCCTGGGACTCGCAGAACTGTTGCGCTTGATCATAGGACTTGATGGCGGCAGTTTCGTTGGGGCCAAAGACCCGAGCAATCCCGTTTGGTTCTCTCTTGGGTGGCACTTCATACTTCCATAGGTCATTGTTGGAATCAACCATAAAGAACTTGTTGGCACTCACAGCAGCAATGTTTCCACCTGAAGGGCCTAGAACCGGAAGTGTCCAGTTTGTGGTTGTGGCGGTAGAACTGAAAGACTTGCGAGGTTGTCCAGCACTTGATAGTGCATTCACGGCTGCAGTTGTCCACAAGGTTCCATCAGTGGCGTAGCTGACATCTCCACCATCACAGGATCCTGAGCTATACCAACTACCACCGTCTTCTTTGATATAGATGTGGTTTTGGCCTCCGTATGCATTACAGAGTGCAGCTCTGTCAGGACCTAAACCAGTGATACGGTCTCCACCTCCTAAGAATGCCACAAATGAGGTATCACTGGGGCGTTTGCGATAGACATTTCCGGATGTGGTTCCATCGACCCACTGTGTAAGCCAAATGGTTCCATCCTGAGTGACACTGATATCACGAGCAAGCATTCCATCCAGGTGAAACCAACCAGCAGCACCATGTTTGAAAATTTGTCCAACGTAATTGGCTGTCACGAGACATTGGCAAAAGTAGCATTAGTCAGTTCTGGCTGGCACCCATACTCCACAAACAAGACATGATGATTTTTCGGCGAGTAATCTGAGCACAAAGTTCTTTTGGACTAACCTAACACAACGTGGGCGCTGCTTCCCACGGAAATTTTCTGGGCACATCCGCCAATTTCTGTCCACGTATCGTTTCCTTCGTGGCGTTTAATTCCATAGCAACCTTGCGGAGGGAGATGGTCATAGTCGGTAAGCTACACGAGCCACCGAATGGAGGACCGAGCATGCAATCAATCATTATACAAGGAAAATCAAGAGTTAGTGAATAACTGCATGGTCTCCGAGCCGCGACCATACAGGCATGCCCCTATAACTATAGCTCGACTTACCACCCAAAGAGCGCCATCTGCACCGGCTCCGACATCCGTTGCCTTTACATTTTTGTACTTAAACCAGTTGGAACGACATACAATGAAATTTGCCCATCCATTAGCATGCCCACTGCCGGCAGCACCGCCATGAAAGGTACACGTGGGGTAGGTAGCGCTTTCTCCAATGTTGATCCATTTGTTGGTTCCATCGGCGACAGGGATCCATTGATTTGGATTCGCACCGGTTTGGATTCCGAAGAATGGCCTGGACTTGGCAGCAGTTCCATCGGGAGGACAGATCTCTGCGGCAGAAGCAAGAGAACCACCTTGCTGATGGCAGAACTCCTCGGCAGCTGCCCAACCATCAGTGAGGCTGGCAGTCTCTCGAGGTCCGTACATGCGGGTGTTTCCCATCAACCAATCGGTTTGTGCCGTCAATTCACGGTGGCGGCCAATGGTTTGGGTAGTTTCTGTGCCAGCGGCATCGGCAGCCACCATGGGCTCGGAAGAATCTTCTTCTTCCTTATCATCCTTGCTATCCACAGGGGCGGACAACGTGTCGTCTTCCTTTTTGTTGATACCGGCACTGGCATCGACAGCTATGTCGGTCCTAGCATCCATCGTAGAATCGGTAGGGGTCGTGGTAGTGGTCGTGGTGGTGGTGGTGGTCGTAGTCGTGGGAGGAGTGATGTGTAGATCGTTGGTAGTAGCTTCCGTGTCAATCCCGTTGTTTATTTCTTTTTCTGTTTGTTTTTTGTTTTCTTTTTCTTGGGATTTGGTAGCTTCAGCGTTTGGTTCAGCTTCAGGTTCGAGTTCATCGGAAGAGGAGGTGGAGGTGGAGTTGATGAAGTCTTCGGCAAAGGAGGTTGTCTTATGGTCGGTCTTGAGGTCAGTCTTGAGAGTGTCCGCGTCCACTCCAACGCCAACATTGACATCAGAGGCAGAGGCCACTCCGAGGAGAATGGCCAAGAAAAGAGAAACGCTAATGGCCATCTTCATCTTGAGCCTGAGTCTGAGCCGAGTCGAGTCTCTTATCTTTCTGATCTTGGAGGTAAGGTATGTGAGTGTTCTTAGTTCTTAGCTTTAGCTTGAGCTCGTGCTGTGCTGGAGGCGCACAAAGTCAGTCGGTCTGTTATTTTAATCAAGAGCTACTAGTAAGCAGCTAGCAATCAAGATATCAATCAATCAGTCAGTCAGGCAAAAGAAAGCTAGCTAGTAGATAACTCTCTTCGGCTTGGCTTATTGTTTGATCGAGTCTTCTTGTTTGTGGGTTTCTTTTGTTGCTTGCAACAAAAAGAGTGAGAGAAAGATCAATCGAACCGGGAGAAAAAAACACAAAAAGATAGCTGAGCTTTTGATTACAGCTCCGCTAAGCTTCACGCCACCACCGATTCCAACACTACTAGCTAGTACTGTGCCGGGCCTAGCGGTATGGTACAGTAAAAGGCTCTGTCCATTGCTCTTGGGAGCAACCGTAACCAGCAAGAGGTCACAACTCAGTGGTCCCAACGCGTTTTTGTTGCCAGCACCCCTCCGAAATTCTACAACTGTTACCAGTGACCCCCAAAGCAATTCAACAAACCCCCTTTCCAAACAATGATATCTCTTCTCTATTCCGACGTTGCTTGGATTTCCCCAGTTCCGTACTGCAGCGATGCAGCGAATCTGTGTTAGTAGTAAGATCCTAGGAAAGGCAAAGCAAAAATAGACTTGGTTGCATGCTACATTTTGAACTACTTTCTAGTTTGTGACCATTCAAAGTACATCAAAGATTTAAATACGATGAAGCAGCGCTGGTTTGTGAACAGTCTTTTCCAACATCAGCTATTAATATCATGAAATATAATTGGAGACGTTGCTATAAGCAGTAACTGTTTGTAATAATAGGCACAGTATACCGCTGACAGGTGTGTGCGCAGACTAGCTGCAGACTTCGAATGAATAGCTACCAGGAACATCTTTGGGATGAGAAGCCGTTTAGAAGCAACTCCCTTTACCAGTGGCACCTATTTACCAGGGCACCCATGATCAACTGGCCGCACAGAATGTCTGGGTGTGGAAAGGAGAAATACTCTTGGGAGCGTTCCTTAGGTCACAACGTCCCGCAGGCTGCACACTGGAGGCTGTTGACTTGTGCTTGTTCTCAGTAACTAACAACTAACTAGTACTGTCGAACCCATGATCAACTTGCCGTACAGCATGTATAAGCCTTCTGAAAATTTAAATAAGCGTCCACTGGTTTTGGTCACCCGTTATGCAGCATGCTACTGCATACTACCGTACACCGTACACTAGAGTGGGACAGGAAACAGTAAAACAGCCAATCATCAAGAGATGGAGCGGTCACCGTACCGGTACGGGACTACTACATGTAGTTTCCACGGAGTTTGAAAATCAAAGCAACAGAGCTACCAAAGAGATACGAGTACTAGTACTTCATTTGGAGAGCGGGAGGATGTCGTTGAGCTCATGGCTGCGGGAGTTCATAACCAAAAGCTTTATCATCATGAGCATTGATAGCGTCAATGGAAAAGATATCTGAAGCTAAGGTACATGCAACAATAGAAACCGCAACCACCCGGAGCGAGCTACACTTGATCTGGGAAAGACTAGCTAGACCGATTGAATGATCAATCGAATCAGAATGATGAATCATGCGTCCCTGTGTTGGTTGAGCTAGACTACTAGAGTAGTGCTCGTCACTGGCCCGTGCACGCCCCTCTGCCGATCAAACAGTACTTCCGGCATCGCTTTAGACTACCGTACATGTGTGCTTGCATGGTTTACCACCTACAACCGCCTGTTTTACCTCCTGTTTTTGCCTCCTTTAACCATTTTTCACCGCCCTCCACCGCCTTATCTTCTCGTCGATATGCGGGAAAACTCAATCGGTTATGCGGGAAAACTCGATTTACGACAATAAAAGTTGGTTTGAGCCACCTCCCGTGAGTTCAAAGTAGACTAGCCTTCTTAGTTACTCGAGGTAGATGATAGTGTGGATTGGAAAAGTGAGGCTAAATAATGCAACAGAACGTCCCTGTGGTGGTGTTGGTTGTCGCAGGCCCGTGCACAACCCCGCTCAGCAGCTCAAACTGCTGTGCATAAGCATAGTTGTGATACATTACTTGGGACAGTCATCAGCGGGAACGTCAAGCAAGCGACTTGTAGGCTGAGGAAATCTACGTAACATATGGGTAGAAGCAGGACATCATGCGACAGACCTTCATGTGCTTTGCTTCGGTTGATCGAGGGCCCAAGGCTGCCGTGTTCAGTCAATCGATCCACGGCTACGTACGATACGATCATACGATACGATACGATGGCATCGGAACTTGATTTCCAAGCACCCCCGTTCCCATAGTTCCCTCTAAGCCATAGCAACCATTCATTCCATTTCAAGCGGTATGCATAGGTCAATGCTGCCAACTGAGGACGTGCAGCCGCACATTCTCGGGGAACGGAAACACCAAAGTCGTAGCGCTGCTTTGACAATCTTTGCGGCAGCAGAGGAGGGACGAGTGGCTGCAACGTGAGCCGAAGCAAACGAATGGTTTTATCTTGGCAGCCACACACCGGACAAAGACGATTACAGTTGTGTGCTAGTGGCATGTACAGATGCTAGAATAGAATACCGGTAGACTGCCTACAAGCTTGCTAGAGTATATGTAGATTTCGAGACATCGTGGTCCTCGCTCTTGCAATACGGCAGGAACTTGATGTTTGGATGTTTCGGATGGCATGCTCTACATGTACTCATCCGGCAGAAAGCCAACAAGCATTGGGTTGTCAATACGGTACGTAGCTAGCTGGCCTTGCGACATTCCGCCGGTGACTACGGTAGCTAGCTAGCTAGGAAGCAGAATCGAGATGTCACACAACTACAGAACATGGAAGCAATGACTCGACGACTCGACCGCGATCGTAATGAAGCTGCCAGGACTCCCGCGACCCTCATTCCGTCAAGCTTTGCGATTACGATAAGCTACGGTACACGGACGGAACCCTTCCACTTTGCGGACCATGCACTGTATACGTTTTATTATTAAGCAAGTATGAAACTTCTACCACGGCAACCCATCTTCTTTCTGTTTACTTTCCTTCCATCATCAATGCCAAATCCTGGACGGGATCTCCAGTATTCATCAGGTTGTAATTGTCCTGCAGCACCTTGATGATGTTGGGAGTGAGATACGCCGGTAGACTTGGTCCCAGGCGAATGTTCTTGACTCCCAAATGCAGCAGAGTGAGCAAGACGGCTGCAGCTTTCTGCTCCAAATGCGAGACAGCCAGACTGAGAGGCAAATCGTTGACGGTGCAATCCAATGCTTTTGCCAGCTCTGTTGCCACCACGACGGCACTGTAGGAATCATTGCACTGACCCATATCCAACACGCGAGGTATTCCGTTGGCCAGTTTGGCTTCCAGCAAGGATTCATCGTGGATGATTCGGTTCTTGGCACAACCCAGGGTTAGAATCAGGGAATCCGGTGGTGTCTCCCGTGCCAGGTCGGTAAAGTAGGATCGGTCCCACTGGGAGCCATCACAGCCACCAATCAAAAAGATTCGAGAAAGCTGTCCGCTTTTGGCGGCTTCCAAGACCTGATCCGCCAACGTCAAGACGACACGGTGATTAAAGCCAACAGTGTGGTATTTTGCCGGTTCGATGGTGCGAGGGAATCCCTTGAGCGACTGTGCTTGTGCAATGACGGCAGAAAAGTCTCGATCTGGCCCAATGTGCTGGACGCCATCGACTCCCACTTCGTTCATTGTGTAGAGTCGTTTCTTGTACATTTTGCGAGGCTCTAGGACGCAATTTGTAGTGACAATGGTAGGACCAGGAAATGTGGCGAATTCCAACTTTTGATTCTGCCAGGCCGTGCCATAGTTTCCAACGAGATGTTTGTACTTTTTGAGTTCCGGATAGCCGTGGGCTGGCGTCATCTCGCCTGCTCCAAATCAAGTCACAGTCACACAAGCACGCCACAAGCCCAGGAATGGAGCAAAAAATAAGTTGTTAGGCACTTTCAATCAATATCAAAACATCTAGCTCGCTGTTTCTGTTTGCTTTTTGTTGTTTCTTTTGTACTCACCATGAGTGTAGACATTAACTCGCGTTCCTTCGGTTTGCTTCAGCAGGGCTTCTAAATCCACCATGTCATGACCGGACACGAGGATGCACTTTCCTTCGACCGCAGTCATACGGACCTGAGTCGGCTCGGGGACTCCGTACTTGGTTGCGTGGGCATCATCCAGCATGGCCAGGACCCTCGCACTGATTTCTCCCACCTTGAGGCACGATGCGAGCAATCCATCCACGTCCGGTTCCTGGCTGTTGAGCTGCGCATGTATTTTGTGAATGTCCATCATGACATCATCGTCCATGTACCCCATCTGATGGCAATGAGCCGCATAAGCACAAACTCCCTTGAGCCCGTAGGTGGCCAATTCGTTGAGACAAAAGGCATCGTCATTGCCCATGGCTGCCTGTCGCTTGGGAATGGAAAATTCGTCGAGGCCCTTGGCTTCAAGTTCTTCTTCGTTCAACCCGTCCAAGTCATTGTGCAACGTCGTGGGAACATTATTGCTACCACCCAATTTGGCCTCGAGCTCTTTGCCAATGACGACTCCCTCTTGAATAAATTTGCTGATACGTCCATCACTGAAATTGACATTGGTCAAGGTCGAAAAAGTTGCCTGCAGAGTCCACAAATGCGCCGCTTTCAAATCCGCTGGTGCAGAAACTCCAGCCGTCTCTGCGGCCACGACGAGTTGCCCCACCGACCGGACCAACTGCATGAGGGTATCTTGAATGCAGGCCGTTCCCGAGGATTTGCCACAGATACCCACGGTAGTGCAAGCAAAGTGATCCCGCGTTTGCTCGCACTGGCGACAAAACATGTCAGGCTGAGAAACGCTCTTGGTGGCCGGTGCCGTCGAGAACTTCTTGACCACGGTAGCAGTGGCGGGACTACCAAGCGTCATTGTCATTGCAGTATTATTGGCTGCGAAAACAGATGCTGTAGGTAGAGTCGTACGCCTGAGCAGCGACGAGCGAGCGGTACGAAGAGCTTGCTTGACAAACATGGTCTAGCTAGCTATTTATAGCTTGGGGCTGAAGTTGGTGAAATTGCTTGCTGTTCCTCTCTGCTAGTCTAGCTAGGTACATACATGTAGTAGCCAGAAAAGTGTTTGCTGTCCAAACCGGAATTATGAGGATCAGTGAGCTATTGATAGATAGCTCTGCTATTCTACTATAGCTAGCAGTAGCTAGCTAGCTAACGTTCCAGGCAGTGTTCTGGAATCTTTTGTGGTCATTGATCGAATGGATCTTTTGGTGATGTTGGGCTTCGGATCATGCGAAGATCCCAATCCAACTTCCGGAGGGATGATTTTAAAATTCGTTAGTGAACACCGCATTGGTGCACTCCCGAGAGCTCAAAAGAGAAGACTCCGCCAGGATCCAGCCAGATCCATTCGTTGTGCACCAGACATACCGGTACTGTAGGCCCAATGTCCCAGCAAAGCAACACGCTCCAATCTCCAAGCTTCTTTCAAGGGAGTTGCGGGAATACCAGGGTTATTCAATTTGGAAGAATGACAAATAGGTGGAAGAATGACTTAATTAATGTAGAAAAATGACACTATTCTACGGAAACTCACGTAGAAATTATTAACAGGTGACAGGAATCTGGAAGATTGCTGCAATTCAGTACATGGGAGCATGGCTCAAAGTGAAAGATCAACATAATCCAGCAGTTTGCTTCAAAAGAGTGATTCGATTCATCATTCCCCGCAACTCAAAGAACACACTGGTCCATGGCACCAGAGATCCTTTTGCTACGGTACGGGTACCGGTGGCTTGTAGACTGAAGAGATAATCAAGCTTCTAAAGGTGGCTGCTCCGAGGCAAAGGCACACTTCAAACTAGCTAGCAAACACACTCCCTGCTCTACCAGTGCTACCCTCTATCGGTACCAATGCCACCGCTCTGCCTAGCTAGCACCCCCTCGCTCCTCAACGTATCTATTTAGTCTTTATTTGTTGCATACACACTACAGGCAGGGTGCCAGATGGACACTATAGCATCCTCGTGGCTGCTACCCAAAACTAGAATAGTGAGATTTACCCTGTCAGGTTCAGAGTGTCATTCTAAGTTTTATCTCTCATACATGTAGTAGCTTATCTGTAGCTTACATGTAAAACACAGCATTCGGCGTTAGTCTTGTTGCCTCTCTTATGTGGATATCGCAAATCAATGGCCCGTGTTGGCCCTGAAGTCCCCAGCCAATCCACCTCTTCTTTGCCAGGGCCTGGCCCTCACTGGATTCCCTCACCATAAGTAGTTCTGATTTGACATATACATCCGTCAGAAAGAGCAAGCAGGATTGGAATACGAGTCAGTACTGCGTTAGCTCATACATGTAGTTGCATTTTTAGCTGGCCAGGCATCGGCATTAACATCTATATGGACGGGCTCGGACAATCTAAAAGGGTGCTTTGAGGACATGGCTCCTTTAGAATCCGTCCGGAGTGTTGGACTCGCCACTCGTAGAATCATTCTATGAAACATCCTTCCTCTTGAGCATACATGTAGTGCTTCGTTCTCACGCCCAAAACAATCTCAACTTTTATGCAGGCGGGGGAATCGAGCCAGTGCTACTTGTTGGAGCCAACTCAACCATGAACGGCTCGATCCAGTTTTCGCGAGTGTTGACAACTTTCTTCACTTCAATGTTCTTGGCGCCAAGCTTGCTGAAGAACAGATCACGCGACGCTGCTACATCAGACTCTTGCATGCTTCCCGAGTCATCAATGAACAGTCCCACAAATCCGACATTGGCACTGGTGTAGTTCTCAAGACCACAAAGGGCGAGCCAATCGTCAGCCAAGGTAGGATCATTTCGACATCTTGTAATGTTTTCATGAAACAGGGTGTTGTTGTCGGCGTCGAAGTCGGGTGGAGTTTGCACTGCTCGTGGCTGCACATATTCCCCACCCCAGCCGTAGGTCGTCGGAACTAACAGGCAAAATGGTCTGTAGGAACAAGGCAAATTGTCAGACACATTACACCGGGGGGGACAAAGAACCGGCATGGAATGAATCAATCGCGCACCTGTAGGGGTAATTGGCCCTAAACTCGGCCCATTGGCTTTCCTGTTGCGGTCCCCAGCCAAAACTGTCATCCTCGTCAATCACAGCTACACAAGGCACAAGCTCATCGCTTCCCTTGCAAAGACCATCCATTGGGTCGCATTTCTGATTTCCATGAGAACAGGTCTTTGGGGTGTAGACACACTCCAGCTTGCCTTGGTTGCACACCTTTGAGGCAGCAGTACAAAGATCCGAGTTCTCGCACACGACGTTGGTAACGTTGGTGTCTCGGATGGTCTGAACAGCAGCATTATTTTGAAGTGCCAATCCAGTAGAGATCGAACCGTCAATGACTGGCAATGCTTGAAAGCCAAAGATAGCACCAGGTTGGCTGGATTGAAGCTGTACTTGGCCCAAAAACATGTGGTCTCCGTCGTCATCCAGAAGCATTGTCAATGCGCCTGCCCCAGCTTCGCCTGTAGCAACATCTACTGGAAACAGCACGAACGAAGAGGCGTCAATCAAGGCTGGGCTGTCAGAAACATTGACCGATACCGTCACATCCGTGAGTTCGCCCACTTCGATCCGATGGGGCGAGAATCGGAAGATTCCAGTGCTCTCAAACTCTTGCGCTTGGATAGTGTCCTTGGCTGTAGAGGAGAGTTACAATATTGAGTGACTCGATTGTGAGGAGGGGCTGACACCATGATAACATGATGCCGGGCATTACACGCAATTTCCTTGACATACCTGCTTCCATGCCAAATAGAATACCATCCATCAAACAGGTTTTGTCTCCTCCGCAGAGGCACTCGAGTTCTTGAGAAGCTTGCCCAAAATCAAAGAATCCAAATGGTTCTTCGTCACATTTCCTCAGGGCGTGAAAATCCGTGGAATTGCCGTACGTGAACATGGATTCCCGGATGTCTCTGATGCACCAATGCTTCTGGCAATAAGCGTTGGCAACGTAAGAGAAACCGCCCATTGGATTCAATGGCAATGGGCTGCCTAATGCATCCATCCAATCATTTCTGATGTCTCCGTCAGGACTTCCCAAGAGACCGACAATTTTCTCATTGCTGTATCGAAGCGGGATGCGGACACGGATGTCCAACCACGCACGCCCAACTGTTACAAAGACCGCTGTCCCAGCTTGCTCGTGGAAGATGCCATAGGATGAAGGGTTCAACAACGCAACTGTAACACCAGTAACACTGTTCTTGTAGTCATTCAAGTCAATGTTGAAGACCGCGCCGTCCACAAGGACTTGGATGTCATTGCCCAACTGGTAATCAAGAAGCGAGATCTCAACAATCTCACTGCTGGCTCCAACTTTCACAGCAACACCAGTCGCCATGGATACTCCGTTTTCTTGTTCCAGTCTCGCCTGGATCTCAAGAGGTGAATCGAGAGAACGTGTGTAGATGAAGTCACCACCCCCATGGCAGTCAAATTGATAGCCATCGTACGTCCACAGATGCGGGTCGCCAACGGCTTCGTTCTCGTGGCACGGCGTCCAATCACAGGCACATTCTGAAGGTGGATCGCAGCAAAGATAACCACAGCAGCCATTCGTTCTACATGATCCGTCAGTACACTGGCCTTCACAGCGCGACTTGCATAACCCGTCGCCACAACAGGTTTCATTGGGTTCGCATGGGACACAGCAACTATCCTCTGCAACACAAGAGCCCACGCCTCCAGGAAGCGTACAGCACTTCATGCCTGGATCAGCGCAACAGCTTCCTCCGAACCCACATAAGTCCTCTTGGCAGCATTTGCCGCAGGACCCGTCATTACACCGCTTTCCTTCAATTGACTCACAGCATTCCGTTGAGGGGTCATAGCACCGACCCGGTGCAAGAGGGTCAGTTGACGAACAACATGATAAATTGTCTGCACAGTAGCTCCCGCCAAGAACATCACAGGGGCACGCCCCCAGATGCTTCTGGAGATTGAGAAAAGTGATATGTGAGCGGCATGCTTGTCTCATGATGCAGCCGTGTGGTGGGAATAGCATGCAATTTCTTTCACCTACCTGTCCATCTGAGCAGCAAACCTCGTTACCGCCGAGGCAGCCACATTTTGCTGAGAGAATTCCAATGGTTCCCGAGTCCGTAATGCATTCTCCGCATGTACCATCAGGGGCCCTTATTCCGCAGCACTCTTCGATGCCAATGCATTCGTCACCACATCGTTTCTCAGTATTCGGGCAGCATGCACCGTGCGGCACACACAGTTTCCCTGGAATGCATTCTCGCTCGCCAACTTTGCAATCCTCTTCGCGGGAGCTACAGAGCAGAATAATGTCTTTCGTGGCATCAGCGTTGGGAAGAAGTTCTGCCGTGGTTGTCTCGGTTCCACCGCATCTCAAGCCGTTCTCGAAACGCAAAACACTGACCTCTGTAGACATCTCTGTATCCCTCAAACCAACCGCCACATCTGCTTCAAAAAAGTGACGCTCATTGCAGATGCCAAACTCTTTGGGCAGCATAGTTTTATCATTGGTCGTTTCAGGGAAGGGAGTGCTCGCCGTCGTGCCGGTCAAGAACAACCCAAGGTCAGATTGCAAGCTAAACTCGAGTACATCAAAGACAGAAGCGGAGATTTGCGGTTCGAAGCCTATGAACCCAAACAGATCCACCGCGTTGCCGTCGTCAACCTCTTACACGCCATTGTTCATTGTCCATGTTTGAGATGGCTTCGTGTGCGAAACCAGAACCGTAAAGTTTGCTGGATCGTTCATTGGCACCGATGCGTGCCAATGAGCATTCCCATCCGAAAAGCTCAAGGTATGGTCGACAGTAAAACCAAAGCTTGGTGTTGTCTGAATGGAAGCCTTGAACAAAGATTGGAAACTCACAAGCAGACTCGCTGGAACACCAAACACG